CACACTTACCCAACTACCTGAACAGCATCATTAAGATATGGATCAACTACCATCTCCTTTGAAACGTTCCAATCTCCATCCGCAGCGATGATGCCAATGTTGCTTAGACCCAGTTTGTCTAAAGACTGCCGAAGTACCTTAGTAACAGATAACAACACTTAAAGTACAGCCTTTCATTAATCATGCAGCATGAAAATTTAAGACTGAAAACAATTTTAGAACTGTAGGAGCAGACTGCAGAAGCATTTCTTCAGAGCTAGGCAGATAAGTGAAATCTTCTCAAAGATGAATCATAATGACAAATACTGATAAGTATTTTTAACACTGATGTGTTCTCTCCAATATTCAGAAGGCCACATCAAAAAAGACTGGTATTATAAACAAGTCTTAATCTAAACATTAATTTAAGAAAAATTAAAACAAGGTTCAGCAGCTTCCACCTGCAAGAGCATCTGGGAAGATACATCAGTCCACAGACTAAAAATCCTTCTTCCAAACTTAGATACAGAGAGATGATACAATAGGTACTGTATACAAGCATAGAAGGAAGACTCTTCAAGTCATTTGAACACCAGCAGGCATGCATCCTCAAATAATTTCTTGTAACACTCTTCTAGAAATGTGAAGAAGAACAGAGAGCTTTTCTGTCTTGGTATGTAGTCATGATAAGGACCCAAGGCAATGAGTTGGTGACAAACTGAACTTAGAACTAATGGATACTAAACTTATTAACAATGTTTCAGAAAGAAAAGGAGTAATGGAGTTCTGTTCAACTGCTTTAAGCCTTTGAAGCACAAAGCTTACAAAAAAAAAATCATGATGGTAGAAACACTACAGTGAGGTCCCTGTAGCTTAAAACTTTCATCATGAAAAGTTTAATCATCTCTGTCAAATGCTGTTTTTTTGAAAAGCATCTTTTCCACTAATCAAAAAATATGACACTACATATTGTATTTTAAAAACCATGACATTGGTACAGCTTTTATTCATAATGGCAAAAGCCACAGCAAGGCTAGATCTTGTATCAGAAATAGCATTTCTAGCAGAAGCAGGGAAGTGATAATCCCTCTGTACTCAGCCCTGGTGAGGCCACACTTTGAGTATTGGTGTTCAGTTTTGGGCCCCTCACAACAACAAAGACATCAAGGCCCTGGAGCACATTCAGAGAAGGGCAACGAAGCTGGTGAAGGGTCTGGAGCACAAGCCTTACGAGAAGCTGAGGGAGCTGGGATTGTTTAGTCTGGAGGAGAGGAGGCTCAAGGTTGACCTTATTGCTCTCTACAACTACCTGAAGGGAGGTTGTGATCAGCCTCTTCTCCCATGTAACTAGCAATAGGACTAGAGGGAACAGCCTCAAGTTGTGCCACAAGAAATCCAGGTTAGAATTAGGAAAAACTTCTCTGAAAGAGCGGTCATGTGCTGGAACAGGCTGCCCAGGGAGATGGTGGAGTTACTGTGGACTGTTGGACAGGGTGATCTTAGCGGTCTTTTACATCCTTGGTGACTCTATTATAGTTTATGATTCTGTTATAGCTAACCTTCAGTGCATTAAGTCAAAATTCTTCTCCAAGCAGAAGAGATCAGAGGCAAACATACTAAACATTTCAGAACTATGAAGACAACTCTATGTTATTTTGTCAGTCTAAAACAATGCAAAATGTTAGATCTCAAGGTCTAACCACAAGATTTGTCAGATACCTTCTTTTACATTTGGCTGCAGACTTCCCATTTCTAGCCCCAGACAGTTGTAAGATACTAAGCACCTGACTGGAACAGAAGTGTTGCCAGGTCAATTATAACAACACCTTGAAAGTCTATGCATGTGCTTTACTTCATAGAAGAAGATTGGAGAAGATGCACAGGCAGACAAAACCACATTTCTGAAAATAAAGGAGTTGTGCATAATAAATAAAATCTAAAGGAACTGAGACTTCTAAAGATGTTTCTCACAATGTTTCCTAGCTGATGCCTAAAATTAAAGTTATAATGTACAAGTAGAAAAACTACTAGTAAATTAACAGTGATGAATCCACTTGGGGTGAGGAGCAGCAAAAGACTGGACCTCAAAGATTTCTGAACTAGGATTCAGAAAGTACTGCCACAGAAATTGTAATTTTAATTAGACACTTACTGAAAAAGTACATTCCTTAAGTTCATGCAAGATCCATAGCAAGGAAGAATTTGACTAACTGAAACAGTACCACGAAATAAATAATTTACTTATTCATAAATGATTTTGATTTAATACTATTAACTGCACTAATAAGTATGTCTGTGTTGTATGCTATATAAAGTATGCAGAAAGTCTGCTGAAATGATTCTGAGGATCATGGAGGTTCACTAAAGAAAGTGTCAGCTTACTGCAAGGGAAAAGATCAATTGTTAGTTGTTTCTGAACAGCATATTTCTAGAATCATTTGGATTCTTTTTAGCTGTTCTTCAGAAGAGATAACAGATAAGACAAAACATGATCTAAGTGGTCTTTGAAAGAGGAAGGACATGATTAGATCTCTGGAGTAACTAGAATTAGGAGAAAAGAAAACCCAGTGGACATCCAGCAAAGCTTACATTAGACATATAGAGAACTGCCTAATCATGGAGGTAGTTCAGCAGAAGAGAACAACTAGAAATACTGCAGAACATCCATATGAAAAGACAGGTACTGAGGACATCCCATAGATAACCCAAAACGCACACTCCATAACAACATATGCAGAATGGTGTCGTTCCAGCCACTCCATGCCCCCAGTATGCACTTTTATATGAAGATACACTAACCCTAAAATTTAAGGAGTACACTGATGGTATTTTAAAAATTGAAAGAATAGGATCTTATTGAATAAGAATTTAAAAGCAACACAGTCATCACTTCTGTTTCATTTTTCTTCTACTTTGTAAGAAATATAATTGGATTCTCAGTGGATGAAGCAACTAAAACAAATTCTTAAAGTAAAACACTTAGCAAGATAACCAAGAACTCAAACATACGTATGTCATAACAAAGAAAGTTTGCTGTACAGATGTACACTTTGGTAAACACATCTGTTCTAAAATGACTGACTGCAAATGGAATCGTGTTAGATAAAGAAGAGATGCCACAGGACACTGCAATGTGCAAGAGAATGAATGCTAAAACAGATGTTAAATAAAGACATACAGTAGAGGAAGGCTGACACATTTCAGTAAATATTTTGGTGATTTCAAGATCAAACTTTAAAAATTTAACTCCAGAAACCAAAAGCTGTTCCAATTCAGTGGTATTTAAAAAGCTAACAAACAGAATGCCACACCTCCACTTAATAGTTTGTTCTTCACATTCATTCTCTGCACATCAGGAAGCCAAGGCAAATAGATTAGAAAGCCTCCAAGTAACATTGCAGAGAACTGAGCAAAAGAGAACCAATTTCTTATGTGATGATTTAGGAATCAATGATTTAGTGAAATATGAGTATTTTATTTATGGTAAGATCTGCCTTCTCTTTGATGATTCCTTTTACAAAAGAACATTATCATCTAGTCTATGAATAAATCTAAATCGCAGTACAAAAACCATGTCACTCTATTTTATATTGCCTTATTCCCTATAATTAGAATTATCCTTTAGGAAACTATTACTACTTCAGATTTCTCCATTAGCCCATACCTGACTAGTGGATGACTTTTGTAGTAGCCTACGTGATAATCTAGAAAAATCACTTTAATGAAATTAGCTGTGTAATGAAGCACAGATAATGTGGAATTTGGTCTAAGTTGTGATAAGACATGTAAACTAAACTGCTGCGATAGAGTGACCATGTAAGTCAGCTTAAAATACACAGTTGATTAACATATCTGTTAATAAGAAACACAAAACTGGATAAGGTGTTTCTCTTTCTCTGTTATCATGTACAGTGCCAACAGTTTTCTGCTTCCTGATATCCCTCACCCAAAGCAGTTCATATGAACTGTAAAGAAGCTTGCATACTAGGAAGGAAATGTAGTGTTTCATAGGAGAGTACTCTCACTTTTCAGGAGCAGGCAGAATTTTGTATATGTCAGCCTCATTAAAGACATTTAACTCATGCCTAACTTTTTTTCCTTGCTAATGAAATGTTATGTCTCAATGTTGTACACAACTTTCTGTATTATTCTACTAAAACTAACCACTGAATGAAATAAGTACAGAAGTTGCCAGGAGAAGTGACACAACTGACCTTATGCAGTACATACAAATTAAAAGAACTTATCTAATAGCCGCTAAGTGACAAATTTTAAACAGAAGGGATCTAATATCTGCTGAGTCCTACATAAAAAAAAAAGAACAGCAGTTTCCTTCATATTCAGCTTAACTCTTTGTTTTAAGAACAGGTAATGTAATTGCTTCTTAGTCTCAAAGCAGCAACAAGGAAATGAATATAGCAGAACTTATACTGAAGTGGAATCTTAAGTATAACACAACTCAAACAAAAGTGAGCTTTCAAAGAAGGAAGCAGTGATAGCTTACTGCTACCTCATTTGAAATACTGTCACTCTCCAACTCATTTAGAACAAAGTATCAACTTTCACATACTTAAAATACAGAGCTTTTACTTTATGGAAAAGGCAAATCAGAAAGTGTCATAAGAACCTGGACTTGTATATCAATAATTTAAGTGTATTATATCTACTGGAACTTCACAATTTTAAGTACTTGTAGATCTTAGACTTAAAAAAGAAGCTATTTTTCATCTGGCAAGAAGATGAATTTGAATGGAAGCCTCAGTTGAATCATACAAATGTCCTGCATATTTAGCACACACTGATCTATAACGTTCAAAATAAAATTTTCAAATTAAAAAAAATTCTAAAGATCTGACTCTACCAAATATATTTTATGCCTGCAACCACCACAAGAAAGAGTTCAGTCAGCAGTCATGGGATTAAGGTCTCTATTCGAGGGGAAGTCAGACAAGTAAATCGCGTATAAATGATAACAAAGAAACTTCAGAAGTACATTTCACTTTTGAGAAAAATATACATACCTTGATATATTTGCTGTTAAATGCCCTTTCATTCCATATCTATAAAGCAAAAAGTAAAAAGCATTTTAGAGAAGTCAGGATGCATTGATACATAAGGCAATCCCATATACACTTATATAAATCTTTCACAACCGTTTCTAAACTGTATGGTTTTAGTTTGCTAAAGGAAATTGCTCTGATTAGTTTTATCAGCCCTCCACAAGAGACATTTACATAAAAATTCAAGCCATATGCTTATTTATCTAATAAGGCCTATTGTCTGTAATCTTGCCAAAAAGAACACTAATGCTGTGGTAGCTCTACAATGGTTAGCCTTGTTCCACATTACATATAATTAACAATGGGTCTACAGTTTGGTAGAAATCATGGAGAAAAACACTGTAACTTCAAGACATGGTCATAGAGAACATCAAGTAACAGTACAGATACCAGACATTATTTAAATACTTAATAAGTAGAACTTACCTTCCACTCTGAAAGCAGAGCAAGACAAGAACTAAAAAGTTGTGTCGTGCACATATCTTCCTCCCCACAAGTTGTTACCCAGAGTGCAAGACTGACACTTTCTAATATAGTCAGCAACACAGAGACATGCCAAAAAGAGCTACATACCTTCTCACATTACAGTAAAAAAGCCAGACTTTCCTAGTGGGACAGGAACCATAACTTCAGAAGCTCAACTCAGGATGACTGAGTTGACTGTCAGCTTTTCTGCAGTTAAACTATTTTGCACCAAAACACTTAGAAGCCCAAAAATGAGTATTTCAGTAAGTCTAAGACTTATTTTAGACAAATTATCAATTTTCTTAAGCACCAGGAAAGAAGAAAAGGTTGAATACTAGTCAAATAATGAATTTGAAAAGCGTTTTTCTCTCTCATCTCTAAATAACATTTTTCTCAGATATTCCCTCACTACTTCCATATAACGCCTTATAACACAATACAGCAGTTATACTGTAACATATGCACCTTAACTACTTTATAATGCAGTAAAAAAATCGAAGAGGACAAAAAATTGTAGAGGACTGCCCTTCAGCAAAATAATAACTATATTTTATGCCAAGAACTCACATCAGCCGAGTTTTGCAAACTTTAAGTCTTAACTAACATTTTTCGTTAGCTGGTTACCTCTAAAACCCAAGGAGAACAAGTGAGGCAGGAAATTACACACTCAAGTTTCAAAATCCTTAAGTTTTCTGGTAACTTTGTTCTAGAATTGGGAAGTCAGGAGTCTAGCCACTTTACACCGTTTCCGTATTAATGGCCAGTACTGTGGAAAGGCAGGAGTTATGCTAGGTAACAGTCTCATTTCAACAGAAAGTTATAACCACAATTACAGTTTTTCATCTCTCCCTTCCCAGTATTCAAAGAAACAAGAAAAAAACCTTAAAAATGAAGACAGATAAAATATATTTTACTGACCCCAATATAATCAATATCCAGATCATGATACCGTTTAGCTCCTAATATCCAAGAAATAATATAGTAAACAGTGACATGTGGATAATCATAGGGCCAGTTTTCACCCTTCCCTATCCATGACGGAAATGTCCAGGGTAATCCTGGAAAGAGAGAAGAAAAGCAAATAAATAATTACTAAAGTGGGTGGTCTGCATTATTTGGTACAGCTTAAAAGCATGCTGCACTTTAATTTTCCTAAACTGAAGGAGCAGATAGCACTCCTGATTCACATAGTTCCAGCAAAGACAATAAAACATCGCTTATTTTACCATAGAATATGCTGTAATATAAACTGAGACCAAATATCTGTGGCTTTTATTTTATAAGTCAGAAACCCATCATTATTAGAGAGCTACTAACTACATATAATCTTTCTACTGAGTAAACTCTAACAGGTTAAAAATAAGAAAAACTTTTGCAAAAACATTTTACAGCATTATAGACAAAGGATCAATATTAAATGCAAAAATCTCCTGAGTATGACTGCCAGAGCAAACGATGATTTACTCATTGCAAAGGAAGAAAGATTAGGACTATGAAAAGGCATTTCTCAGTTTATTGGCTCTTACAGTAAATAAGAACAAGTTATTCACCTAAGTAGATTCTCTTGCATTTTTAGCTAATTCAGTATAAGACACCAGATCTCATTAATTAAATGGCATACTCTCCTCCCTTTGTTGAGGGCTTGATTTGAGGGAAGAAGAAGGTATTAACAATCACTATTAGTCACAGATGTTAAGCTTGCTGTTTGTCATAGTGCTTGTCTAAAAGAATTTGACCAGCAAAACCTGTAGCAAGTCACATCTTGTGAATGGGTAGGAAAAACCTGCTTCCTGGACGAAGGGTAAGAGACTCATAAGTAGGTGGAGTAAAACAGCAAAATTGCCATCTCTATGAAATTTCACAGGTACTCAGAGTAACCTTTTTTCCACTACTCTTTTAGGATAAAGAAAATATACATTTGTATTTCATTTGAAAAGAGCTTTTAAATACTGCTGACTGAAATTTTAAGCAATAACAAATCACAAAAATCAAAGGACTTCTGTTGTTGAAACTGGAATAGTACATTAGACTACAGAGAAAGGAAGTCTGTCTGATGATACAGAGACTGGACTATGCTCACAAAGCAGAAAATGAATATGGGGGATAAATTATATAACCAGAATTGTCACAGTGGAAGAATAAACATTAGTGACAACCTTTCAAGTTCCTGGAAATAAAACTGTCAAAATATTGCAACAGTTACTTCTAAGTATTTTTACAACTTTCAGGCTTGGACATTTGTTACAAGTTTTCATTTGGAAAGAATTTCTCATGCATCACCTATTCCTAATAAACATTAGGAAATATAAGTCTGATTGCCACTTGATTTTAAGAGCACTGTGGATAATCAAACTACTAAAAAAAGAAAAAGTTGCAAACCATACTTTTTTCCTTGTCTATGCTGTGCTGTACATGGAAAATTACTACTCAGAAAAAAATAGATTGAGACTTAACTACACAATCAAGTGATGCAGTGCATTTATTTTTAATTATGAGGTTTCTCTGCCCTGGAGACCGCAGAAGTCTGGCTTGCTATTATAGAGGTACCTGATTATTACTATAATAGCTCTGCAACCATTGCCACTACCACATACAGAATGGAAACAATTGTACTGTACACTTCATGAAAGCACTATCGATAGCATAGGGCACTTGTATTCAACACCAAGGTCAATTTCATTGTCTCAAAAAGGTAAGACAGGAAGGCAAATATCTCAAGATGTCAGGTCCAACAGCTAATCTTTAAGTTTGTCAGGGAATATTGAAGGCCTGGCACATGGAAGAGCCCAGCATTTAGCTCAGGACTAGTTCAGCGTTACAGTTTCACTAAAACATTTGCTCCAAACATCAGTGAGAGGTAAGTGCTGATATTTGTGCTTTTGCCTCAGAATTGAGCTCTATCACCATTAGTAAGAAAGAATATTTAGTTTCAGGAAGTACATACATGCCACCTGGCATCTCATTATAAAATCAAATTATTTATAACCAGATTCACTTTTGAAACACTTTTTGGAGACAGAGTGAAAAAAAAAGTCATCCTCTCTTTCATGTGAAATACATCCTGTAAAGTATTTCATCAAAATCCAGGATTCTGTATTTGTATTGTCACATACACTGAGAGATTGGTGAGGTACTAGAGCAGGTTGCCCAGACAGGTTATGGACGTCTTGTCCCTGGAGGTGTTCAAGGCCAGGTTGGATGGAGCCCTGGGCAATCTGATCTAGTACTTGATCTAGTGGTTAGCAACCGCACCTGTCACAAGGGGATAGGAAGTTGATGATCCCTGAGGTTCTTTCCAGCCCAAATCATTCTGTGATACATAACCCACAATCAAAACAGGAAAACAATAAAGTTATCTTACAACTCAAATATATACACACACACACACACAGTAGAGCAGAAGACAGGAAGCACTCTCACGGGGAAGAAAGGTGATGTACTCATGATAAGGACACATGATTGAACTTGGGGCATAAAAGACTTACAGATTCATGCTTCCTTTAAATTTAATTTATTCCTCCGAATTTTTTATTTTATTGGTTATTCAGAAATTCAGCCCTCATGATAAATGATTTATATTCATCACTGCTATTAAGTTTAAGTGCTACTGTCACTTGATGCAAGCAAATCATTAGTGACCACCCAGAATGTTACACTACTATAGAAAAGCAAAAATAATCTGTTTATGAGAAGCATCAATGCAAGCACACCAAATACTAGAGATTCTATATCTTGTCTAGATCAATAACAACAAAAAAGTCTATTAAAATAACTAAGGCTAAGATACATTAGTTAGAGAACATATATATAAAAATCCTAAGGCTTGGAATAATTTACCAATCAGTTTAATTTGGGGGTTCCTCTTTTTAGCCTCTTTCATCAGCCACCATTCATAACCTCGGAAGTAGTTCTCATCATTTTCATAGTGCATATGGGAGGGCTCTGTGCCATCTAGGAAGGAAATAAACAGTTCACAATTATCGTCTGTGTCATAAGCTGTTACACATTATAAAGTTTTCTGCATTGCTCACTGCCACAATACACAGTCAAGCACATAGCTCCAATACGGTTCACACATTCTTTGCTCTACTCTTCAAAGCAAAATGAGTAGTGGAAGGGAACATGCAAAACTGGCTACCCTTCATTCTTAGAATGTTAACTTAGCATAAATGTTTGGTTTTTTGGAGGAAGGACATTTTTGTGTTTTTTTTTTTTTTTAAGGGACTATGCACTTCTTTTTTTGCAACAGAATATGATCAGCTATCAGGCATTTCCTGTTCCCAGATATGATAATGCTAAAATATGCATTTATGATTACCTTGGTCTCAACAACCACCAGGAAATTTAGAGCATTAGGATCATAAGGAGAAAAAAAAAATGATCAACAGTGATTGAGCTCCAGTGAAATGTAGCAGCTCAATAAACTAAAAATGAAAACTATTTCTGATCTTTGCATTTTCATGTTTTTAAACCCTACACAAGTTTCATGGGGCTTGTATTACAGAAACAGTATTTGAGAAATGCTCTGCAGAGAACTCATTTTCTCTAGAATGCAAACTACTTACCATATTATAGATTTCTATATTGAAGAGCAGGGGGAAGAGAACGCTATCTCTAAGACACAAGTATAAATTACTTTTACAAGTCTGCAGACACCACTTCTGATATTTTTGTGTAACTTCAGTAAAACTGCATAACATCCATCTCCATATCTCAACTGAAGAGAAACATGCAGGACACATTACTTACAGCATCACTGCAATGATAAGTTAAACCCCGCATAATCTATACCTGTTGATTGTCCATCACCACCAATCTCTACTTTGAGGATGTGTAAAGAAGCACCAAAATTTGGCTGAAAAAAAAAAAAAAAAAATCAGACTAATGACATGATAATCTTTGTAAGGAACATTAAAGTATTTTTAATGTTATTGTAAGCCAAGCTTAGTGCTCTCTTTCAAAATAATCAAACTATTAAACCTACTACCCTCATAAATTTCTTTGATATAAAGAGCTTATATACATGTCAGAAATAACTTTTTCTGTAACTAGCAGGTTACCAGAGAAGAAAAATTGCCATACTGAGAAACAAATAGCCACTTGGTCCACTATCTCATTTCCCTTGCAGTTGACTGGCAGACAAGACACAGAATTAAGTATACACAGTTCATCCAACTCCTACTATGTTCTTTCTGCAATTGGTGGTTTTAGAGTTACTCAAACCAGAATTTACAACTAATCATTATTTTAATAAGCACTAATGGAGCTGGCCTTTTCCATGAATTACCCTAGTATAAGTTTTAAGATTTAGTAATGAACTTATTAAAAAAAAAAAGAGCTAAGCCCACACCTACATAGACAATAGTTTGCTTAGCCTACAAGATATTTTTTTTTTAAACTGTCTTTTTTAAAGAAGAAGCAAGTATTCCTCAGCTCACATCTCTCCCTGTGCCATCTATTGTTTTAAACTTCTACACATACCCTTTTTCATCTTTACCATACAAACTGACCAACATTAAATACAAGAAGAAAATTGAGGCACAGCCTCCTTCCACATCTCATAGCAGTTTTAATTTTGGTGAAAGAAAACACTAAAAAATTTTCAAATATCATGCTCTCACAACTGGACTTCCTTTTTTTTCATATTTCTACTGACTCCTTCAGAAAATGCATACTTGCAACATACAATTTAGGTCTTCCAAAGAACATGGATTTGCTCCCCAATTATACATTATTCTTTCTTATACCCTTCACCCAATTTTAAGCTACACAGTAAATTATTCTCCTCCAGCCATTTGGATTACAGTACTTGAAAGTGACATGACATTCTCCTTCAGCAGAGTAATTTACAGTGCCAAAAGCAAAACAAGTTATTACTGTCCAGTGCAATAGCCTTACCATATTAAGTTGAGTAACTCCACAGGTTATACTTGCTACTTAAAGCAGCTTACAAAACAGTAACATTAATATTCCTTCTGCAGTAACTACACTTATTATACTAGTCTGGAATAGATATTCTACTTAAGTGATGCAGCCAGATTCACAAAACTGATTAGACTACAGATAGCTTATCAAAACTGTCCGACCCACTTCCTACAATCATAAAACAGCAAAGCCCTCATTAACCCAAAATGTATGATGAAAATACATTGAAAACAGGAATAAGAGAAATCCTAATTTGAAGAAATAAGCTACCAAAAAAAAAACAAACACGCTGACTGTCAAGAACAGCAACATAAAATGTAAAGTTCTGATAAAAACCCTTTTAGTACAGCCAGCAGCTATCAGCTATACATTAGCATCTGTCATACTCTTCATAGAAGACTCCTTCCTTTGGTTTTAGAGTCTGCACACTTGACAACACTTGCTGGTTTCATTCTCTCAGAAAAAGGAGCTTCCCAGAATTTCATAGAGGGATCAAAACTCTTAGATTCAAAGAATTACTCAGGTTGCAAAAGACCTTAAAGTGTCCAACCACAACCTAACCAAACTATCCTAACAACCCTCCACTAAATCATGTCCCTGAGCATGTCCTCTTGTGAAGAGCTAGGAAGTTTATTCTTTATGTGAGAGGAATAAAAAAAGGTTAAAATATTTATCCCACAAGAATGCATAAAAGCTTATATAATAGTAAAAATAAAATCAATAAGACTGAAAAAAAGTGTTTAATGCATATAAGTGTTGTATTCATAGTTACTACACTTAAAAAAAAAAAAAAAGAAGTGAGCTCTTCATAGAATATACTTGGATGAGTAGTTTACTACACAAGGAATTGGTGTGCAAACCAGGGTTTGCCCTAATAGGTTTAAGCTCTCTTTGGGCCCAACCATTCCACTCTTTTAGCTACAAAGCCATCTATAATTCATAGGTAGTAACTATTCATCTACAGCGCCCAACTATCAAGTTGAAAAAACAGCTTTAAGCAGATTTACAAGATAGAGCTTGCCTAATCTTAAGAATGCCTGAATGTACTACAGGCATCCAACAGGTGACAGTAAGAAGCCCTGCATGAAATCAGATGTTGGAGCAGCAGTGACACAGCCCTTACCTTGAACAGATAATCTAAGATCTGGGAGCGATACGGTTCTTGGTAATTCACAAGGAGTCTGGATGTGGCCTGAAACAGAAAACAAAATTACAAATACCTTAACAGCCAAACATCCAAGTGCATCCCCTTCTTTGGTCTAGGCAGTTAATAATCCTACACAGCTAATAATCCTAGAAAATTAAATACAGCATAAAGAACTTGCTAAACACAAAGTTCTTCCTAACCCTCCACTTGCCCAGTTCTGCTTTTGCAGGTTGGAGGGGCCCTGCTCACCCGTGACACACAGCAAAGGGAGCCCAGAGGGCAGGGATACAGGGAGATCCCACAGAGCCGCAAGCACGCAGCGCTGCGTCCCAGCACCGCTCTCCCGCACTCTCCTCTCCCTGCCTCGGCTCACCCAGGCCGTCCTCAGAGCCTTCCCAGCCCCACGTCCCCCCTGCAGCCCCTCAGCCCACCGATACCCCCAGGAATCCCCTAGCAGGTTTCCCCATCCCAGTTGCCGCAGCCCTGAGGAAGCGATGTCAGCCCAGTCCCGAGGAGCCCCGCGCACACGAGCCCCGCTCACCCCACCGCCGCTGATCGCCCCGATCCCGTCGAACTCCCTGCCCAGCCCGCCGGCATCATCCAGCACGTAGGCAGCACCGATCCCGGGGGGCCCCAAGCCCCAGCCGGAGCCGAGCAGGAGCCAAGCACAGAGCAGAGCCGCAGGACAGAGAGAACGCCTGACAACCTCCATCCCGACGGTTCCGTACTGCTCTGCCACCGGCCCCACCCCGTCCCTTCACAACCCGCATCTGCTCCCGCCCCGCCCCACTCCGCCTCGTGACCGCGCAACCTGGCAATCACCTGAGGAGGGCGGGGCATGAGCGCTCCTCGCCGCCATTTTGCTACAGGGAATGGCGTCTCAGCCCTTACTGCGCAGCCGCAGAATGAAGCTGGTGACTGCCATTTTGAGAGAGGGCACGAGAAGCCCCATCCCGTGGGGAGGCGTACTGCCGTGCTGGAGGAAGGTGTTGAACAGTGGGTGAAGCCAGTGAGGAGCCATGATGGGTGTGGGAATGCTGCCGCGTGCTTCAGGATGCGTAGTGAGGCAGCGTGTTTGCGTCACAGGTGGATGGAGCTTGTCTGTGAAAACAGCGCTCTGTGCAGCATGGGCGCTGTTCACAATATTTATGCCAAAGTGATTTTCATCAACTGCAAAATTGCTTCTTCTTACAGGATCTGCATCCTCCAACAGTGTCCCTGGAAGGGGAGTGGCGTTTCTCAGTACATCTCTCATTTCCAGGCCCTCACCAGTAACTGTGGCCAAATCCCTTGTGCTGTAGGCGTGATCGGTACAGCACGATGAAAGACCTTCGATCTTCTGTACGAGGAGCGGCGGTGTGGCTGGGAGCGGCTCTGGGGTGCAGGGCACCCAGGGAGAGGCTGTACTCTGAGGACTGCTGGCCGGCCTCAGGGCTGTCATAGAATGCCTTGAGTAGTAAGGGACCTTAAAGGTTAGTGAGCTCCAGCCCCTCGCCATGGGACACTGGTGATCAGTCTGATTATACAGTATAAAAATCCTTGAAGCAGAGCTTTCTGACTGTTGACATTGGTGTTCTGCAGAGCTCGTGTTCCGCATGTTTCAGGAGGAATGAGGCACTGGGAAGTGCAGTGGCTGATACCATGCAGGCAGTGCGTTAGAGCTGTAGAAAAGCCCTGTTTTGTCATGTTTCTGTTCACAAAGAATGCTGTTATTTGAGGGACAGCCCATCTTGTCTGTGTCATTGAGGAATTTCATGTCTCAGTGATGACATTTCCTGATTAACATTTCCTGTTTATTTCTTTTTTAATAACAATACCAAACACTCATGAAACATTTGCACTTTACAGCAATATCAAGCATTAACTAATGAACCTGCTCACACCCAAATGAGCTATATAGTGTCATTATTACATGTAGAAGGACAGAGTGACTTCCTCAGGCTGCAGTGAGTCACGGCAGAGGCAGAATTATGCTCATGGTTCTAATTCACATTTGTTCCAACAGACTGCAGCTTTGCATACATAGTGTGTGCAAATAAAGAAAGTGTTGCCATCATGAGAAAATAACTGTTTAAGTTTGGTGATTTCTTAAATTAATACATCCATTTATTCCTGATAGAAGGCTTCAGCAGAGGAATTCATTCTATTTTTCACTCATAGGAAACTAAAAGCATCAGCTCTCAAAACTCGTACTTCCATCTTTTGATGTGCTGAATGCCTGTCCCTTCATCTGGTGAAGAGTAATATTCTTGGAACCTGTTTTGATGGAAAGAAGAGGATAGTTGAATTATAAAGAATTTTATTCTGGATTAGAAATCTCAACCTGGTTTTTTTTTTTTTTTTTTTTTTTTTTTTTTTTTTTTTTTAACTTGTAAATTCTGGGGCTTTTTTTCTTTACATTTTTATCCACAGCATAAGTACATGTGATCTGAAGCTTCTGTAAACTCACTCACAACTGATAAAATTATTGAAGATTTAAACAAGATACTTGTTGTTGTTTGTTTGGGTTTTTTTTGTACAAAAATTTCTACTGTTAATGCTTTTGTATTTCAATAATTCCTTCTTAGTAGCACTGTAATCTCTGCCAAACCAAAATACCAACTGTAGTTCTAAGATGACTGATTTAAGTTACCGATCTCAAGCTACATCTTTGAGCTAGATCTCAAAAACAACAACAACAAAAAAAAAACAAAACAAAACAAACAAACAAACAAAAAACAAAAAAACCCAAAACCTGAAAACAGTTACCGCTTGCATCAGAAATTGAATTGTTCCATACTGACTTTTTTGGATATAACTTTACTTCCAGAAACATGGAATGATCATATATTCTCTTGCTTCCTTTGACTCTTCAGTCCTCCATCAACTGTTCAATGAAGACCTTCAGAAATACATTAACCACATTTCCCTATTTGTAATAACAATAAAAGTTGCTTTCTCTTCAGTGACCTGTAGGAACCCTCAACTGCCTCAGCATTATTCTTAGTAGATGCCATGTTAGGAAAAGACAGGTGAAAAGTGATGAAACAGGTCTTTGTCTAATGACTTTTGTCTCCATGAAAATAAAGCTTTGGCTGAATTTCTGAATTAGAATTTAAACTAATCCATCTTCTTCCAACTTAGGTGCTGAAAAGCCTCCATTTCACCAAGCTGGAGGGCGCTATGAGACCAGTTCAGGATCGACTAAAATAAATTGAATGATTTGATAATCAGTAGAAAAAAATGTAGCTAAAAAAGGTCATGCTCTGCCTGGGAAAAAAGGAACTAGCCAAATCTCTGCATCCAGTGATTTAATATGCAGCTACTTGGTACTGTTTTCAGAGAAGTACAAATTTTAGAGTTTTTAAATTTGTCTGATTCATTTCTCCTTAGCATCTGAATCATCAAATAGGTTGGGTTTTTTGTTACCCAATAGATGTGCAATTTAAAATTCTATCCAGTTTCGTAGAAGCCAACATAAATCATTCTAAACAGAATTTACAAATAATAATAATAAATCAGAGTACATGATAAATTATTCTGATCACAGAAGGAATGAACAAACTGTGCCTATGTAACAATTTTTTCACCTAATTATCTATTAAAAGAATCACTTCCATGAATGTCTCCTATTGATTTTGCATTAAAAAAAAAAAAAATGCAAATTGAAGTGCATGAAATTTTTATTATCCTGTGTTAACTAGCACTGTTCACAACCTTGCTTCCATCAGTAAACAAACAAAAGAGAAACAACAACACGGTAATACAGGTTCTGAAAATAATTAGGTTTTTTTTTTTTTTGAAGAAACTCCTGCAATCTTTATGATATATTTTCATGAATTCCTCATATGTACATTTTTCTTTGATTCTGTAATTAATCTGTAGGGAAACAGTAAACAGTGCCAAATCTTTTGGTGAGAAAAAGCCTCTATATTTTGAACACATACAAATAAAGAAAAAACAGTGTTTTATTTCTGTGGTATGGTTTCTCTGCATAATGCATTGTGTCCTAAATAAAGGGTTTGTAATATACTCCACTCATGCAGTTTGGCAATATTTTCATTAAAACTTTTCTAAATTTACAAAAAAAAAAAAAAAAAGATTTACCAAGCTGGTTACCGTCATTTTTCATATTTCTGTATGAGTACATTGTCTAAAAAAAGAAAAAAAGGAAAAGAAAAAAATCAAAAGGCTTGTGAGCTGTTGCTTCATTAGTGCATCCAAGAGCAGCTTCCTGTTACTTTATCTGTTGAAGCAGTTTCTCTTCTCAGAACCAGACCCTGATTACCCTACTGATGGTAGAGGAGTAAAACCGCTCTGTGGGAACATTTGATTCTATAGGTAAGTGCACAAAATTCAAGAAGTCAGTGAATAGACTGTTTATTTTGTGGTACAGGTTTTATTGTAGCTCTCCTTTAATGTGATGCTGACATCATGCAACAAGGAGAAGGGACACAAAAAGACGCTGGAAAAAACTGCTCTGGGGGAAGTAATATTCCGGCCCCCAACACAAGCAAAATATTTCATTTAAAAGTTAAAAAAGTACAAGGACAAATAACTTCAAAAGAATGAGTTAGAAAAGACATGATAGCTTGATGTATTGTAGTAATAGTACTGCCATGATCAAAATACCTATTGCTTAGAGAAAGAGGGGGGAAAGGATGGAAGGATTTGGACATCAGTTTTGAGGATACTGAGCTTTCCTGTACTCGCTGTAAAATTGCCTCACAAGGCAATCCAGTTGCTCTTCTATTATTGTTCTTTAGTGTTTTATTGCATTAAAAAGGTACTCAGCATTATTTATGTGAATATACACCATTCTTAAAACCTGGCAGAAAAACAAACTGTTCTTAAAGTAGCTTTCTAGAGTACCAGGCATCATGAACATGAAAATATTTTCTACAGCATCTTTCTATACACACAGAAGAAAACTTGATGCACAGAAAGTTATAGCAAAATAATGTTCATCCGTGAGGTCCATGTTCTTAAATATATATATGTATTTCTATTTGGTTACATCAATGAAATCTCTATGCTCTATAAAAAAATCTCTGAAGCATATCTCAAAGTTAAAAAGGCTGAATTCTTTCATACCCGATTGAGTTTCTACTGAATCCCAGCAAGCTGTGAGCAGAATTTAGCACTGCATGTGAATAAATGCCTTTCATTTTAAGCAAAAAAGGCCATGCTATTGGACGACATATTTCAGCTCTTTAACCAAAGATTTTCAGAATTAAGTTTTGAGATCTGGTCATTAAAGAAAATATCCAGTAATGGGTAGTCCTCGTATTTCAGGAAATAAGCCTAGTATATAACTCATGTTAAGAACAAAAATCAATCTGCTTCGTTGAACTTGTTTAGAGAAAAAAGGAAACAAAAAAATAATCTGTCCTTCCATCTTATGGCTGATAACACAGTGGCGTTAGTACAGCAACTACTCTACTGATTTAGCTGATATGGTAGTGTTTTCTTCAGTTGAGTCTTATCTAAAAAGCCAAGTACGTGCAAAAATCATCATATAATATGATATACTCAACTTCCCCTTTTATTAAATTGAATTTTAAATGAAGGACATGTAGTGAAAATGTATCAGTTGTGGATGTTTCCAAAATTAAACAGGTGGTTTTAGTGACCAAACTTTCCTCTTTTTAATACAAAATCCACACAGTCTGCTACATCTTTCATAATTTTCCACACTGTGGCAGATTTATTGGAATTTTTTTTTTTTTTTTTAATTTAATAATCTTCCAGCCTTCCCATAGAACTTTTACAGATAAGATTATGGAACATCCATTTGTATTTGGGCTTATGAACTATGTGCATACTTTGTTACTTTCAAAATGTTGTAAATGTTCAGATTGCAAAATCTTTGAATCTAAATTAGATTCTGTGGAAATACATCGATACCAATACATTATGTAATATTCCTGAAGTTAATTTATAAGCTTGTTTCCATACATTACTTGATGTATAACATATACTAGACCATTTCTCTAAATTTTACATCTGACTGCAAGTTACTTTTTTTTTTCTCCAGAGTTCTCTTAATAGCAGATTTTCTGTAGCAAAATGGCAAAGATTTTGGGACAATGATAGTCATTCAATCATTGGTATAAAAGAGAGAGTTGACTATTGAGAAATATACTAAGGACAAAACTAGCAGGTACACTCAGAAGATGAGACAAAGTTTGGGAGTGCTTCAGACCATATTTTCAGGTAAGACAAATCATTTTACATTACATAGTCATAATTATCAGAGAAGTGCTAAGCAAGGAAGTATGATATGAAAAGGCTCCCCCAATATAAGATCTCAGGTAACTATAAAGAAATGTGTTGCAATCAGTTGCAAAACAGATCTTTCTGCTTTTATGTTTTTGCTCAAGAAACTTCAGTGTATGTTGTAATATTCTCCACTTGCTGGCTCTGAGACACACTTCATTATAGGTCATCAATACATACCATAATGACATACTTTTTACATGTCCTCATATGAGTAGCATTGATAGTCATTAAAGTTGGGACATGAATTACCTGGGAAGTTCGGACGGCCTCCTGGGTTTTGTCCATATGAACTGTTGAAGATAATGTTTGAAAAGAAAGCCATGAGGTGCTGTGAACTGTGAACATGAAGGACAGAAAAGTTGACAAGGTGGGAAATTTCATGTGATCTCAGCTTGCTTTTTTTTTTTTTTTTAATATTATCTTCAGTGTCCCAGCCTGCCATTATCCAGTTACTTCTTACATTTTTCATTCCTTAAGGCAGGTGGCAGGAGAGAAAACAAGATCTTGCCTTGAAGAACACAGTTTGTTCAGACAGGTGCAACATATTGGCAAGTATGTTTACCTATGATCAGTGAGATGAGTAGATGAAAACTGTTAAAAACAGTGGGTAGATAGTTGAAGCTGGGTTTATTGGTCTGTAAATCAGTATGAACAAGCTGGTAAAGCCACCTGTGGGAGGAGACAAGTCAGGAGCTTGTAAGGATGTTGAGTCTGTAATATAACAAGTCAGTTAACAACAGAGAAAGACTTTCTGGGGGAAGGAAAAGGAATTCCTATTTCTCAGTCACATGACAAATGTAAACACTGCCTCATGCACTTACTGCTGAATTACATACATGCTTTTCAAGGGGTGTGTTTCCCTGCAAGGTTTGTCACAGGTTAAAAAAAAAAGAAAAAAAAAAGAAAAAAAGACAATAAAAAGTGATTACAAGAAGAGAGGTATTTTATCTGTTACTTATCTAATCAGTCTGCAGTCATTTGCTTTGCTTTTGGTGAAAAGTGGGCCAGAAAAACCCTGAGATCCAATTTCTAGGCTTGATTTTTAATTTGCGATGCTTATCTCTGTTGGTAAGCTTAAGATGCCCTACTTACCATGTGGTTTTAATAAAACAGACTGAGTAGCAGATATATTATGTGTGTCTTGCATACAGACACTTCATTTTTTTAAATAATCATCTTGTAAATAAAGTTTCTCACTTGAACAGATCGACGAGTCCTCAAGAATTTTCACTGCTTTCAAGCATGTGAATGATTTTATGACTAACTGTAAAAAGTTAGCCAACTTGATCAAATAAAGCAATGGCTGTTAAAATGAAGTTTGTTCTTTCTGGCTAGTTCTCTCATCATTCCATTTTTTTAAAAAATATATATGTATATATCAGTGAAAATTTTTCGATAGAGAAGAGACATCATGTAACAACCTCTCAACAGTCACTAAACTATGTGGATTTCTCTGACAAACCCGCAAACCTCCACGTGCATCCACCAGACTCATAAAGGGCAGAATGAGTTTACCCATCATTTAGGAAAATTTCTATACCATAAACTGTCTTCAGTCTGAGCTGGTTCATATGTGAGAACACTGGCAAGCAGTTCTATCTTGCAACCTACTCATTCTACAGCCTCTTCATCTCCTGTGCTGGTAGTCTAGGTTCATAACAGAGATGAGTTGCTAGAGGTGATCTCTGAAGCAGTTATTATATTTATCAGCAGAGTTAGACCACAGCTTGTCTTTCCAAATGACAGAGCCATGATATAATCAGTGATTGCCAATTGTCTCATGTGTATGGTAGTACCCCCTTTCTTACTGAAAGGTCAGTTCTTATAAGTGCTTCCAAAATCTATGCACCCAACTTTTTCAGTTGCAGTGCTCTAGTTGGGGCTGCCATTTAACTGGTATTTTCATGCCAAAACTATTGACACCCATGGTTCTGGTAGTGCAGCTTACCTGCTGGTTTTACAAACTCATGCAAGGCAAGTACGGTTTCTTAGAGGAAAGAAGTGTAAATGAAAATCTGTACTCAGACAGTCTCTGCCTCATTGGAGTCTTAGGCCTGACAGATTTTCCTATGCATTCAAGAATCCAATAGATTGCCATATTTCACATAAATATTCCTAGGACATGCTATAACCTTTTCTGGAATAGCATGACAAGTTACTGAGGGATTGCATACTAGTAAAAAGATAGTGAAGCGTAAGGATGCATCAAGAGTGATTCATAATATGGGTACAGCTTGACCACTTGTTCTCTTCTGAGCAGATCCCAACAGCTGTAGGTATCTGAATCCCCATCTTTCTATCCTTGCCTCACCACTGTTTTAAAGAGGAGTAGCGTATCAGGGGTAATAAATCTTCCAGAACCTTATTCTTTTAATTTTTTTCTGTGGTGCACTCTTTGACTTTCTCACAGGAGACACCTGTGACTGCAGGACTCTATCTATGTGTTTCAGACATTCAATCTGCTTCCGCTGTATAAAATTGCATCTGACTGACCTTGACCTTCTTAGACATTGGGATTCTTCCCCTGCATGTGTCCAGCTAGAGATTTTTAAATCTTTTGATCTCCTACAAAGACAATTTATACCTTCTAAATAAAAAAAAAAAAAAAAAAAAAAAAAATAATAATTCCATAGAGAAGCCCAAAAACATTGTAGCAGCTGATTTTTTTTTTTCCCCCCCAACAGAAAGATGGAATCATACCAACCAGATCATGAAAAACTAACAGATGAGCACCAGTCAGACTACAGGCTTGTTTTTTTATTGTATCTGGGCTGGAATTAGCCCAAAACTACACGTGGTGGACAATGAACAACACTGTTAAGTGCCATGATGATCACAACCTGGATAAGTATTTGTTTCCATTTGTGTACAGCACTGTGATGGTGATCAGTATTCCCATCAACTGCATATCCCTCTATGCATCTTGCATTCAGGTGAGGAAAAGGAATGAGTTGGCAGTCTACCTATTTAGTCTGTCTCTGGCTGACCTTTTGTACTCTGTGATTCTGCCTCTGTGGATTGATTATGCCTGGAATGGAGACAACTGGACACTCTCTGCCAGGCTTTGCCAGTTTTCTGCCTTCCTTACATACATGAATTTTTACACCAGTACTGCGTTTCTTGCTTGCATCTCTCTCGATAGGTACCTGGCATTAGTTCACCCCCTGAAGTTCCAGCACTTACGTACAAGAAGAATTTCACTGATTGTCAGCATAATTGTTTGGCTTCTGGAAGCTACCTTTAATTCAGTTATACTGATGAATAAAGAAGTATTTAATGATCCTTGCAATTCTACTAATCATATATTATGTTATGATAAATACCCCCTGGAACAGTGGCAGGCACAGCTGAACTTATTCCGCATATGCTCAGGGTACCTGCTTCCTTTGATAATCATTTTGTTTTGCTACCATAAAATCTACCAAGCAGTGAGGTGTAATCAAGCCACAGTAAATGAAGAAAAGAAAAGAATCAAGAAACTTATATTGAATATCACAGTTACTTTCATTGTTTGTTTCACTCCTTATCATGTTGTATTATTTATTCGGAGCATCAAAGAACCTCAGACCTCTAACCTACAGCTTTTACAGTCAATGTATAAAATCTACAGAATCACACAAGCCTTTACAAGTTTGAATTGCATTGCTGATCCCATTCTTTACTGCTTTGTGAGTGAAACTGCACGAACAGACATTCTGAATTTGCTCAAGTGTTGCTTGTACCTACAAAAACCTGAAGGAAACCAACCAGAAGAACATGCTCTGTGCAGGTCTGCTACAAAGAGCAATGCACTGGTCACCTACAGATCTTCCTGTGAAACTGAAACTCTGTAAAACATCTGTGAGAGCACAGTCAAAGAAAATTGGATAACGTAAAGGGAAAAAAAGTAAAAAATAAATTTCCCTTTTCTGTAATATAAGTAAACAACTCCAAAATACTCTAATCTAGGTAAAACCAGTAGCTGGAACTAATAAGAATATATTGCAGGGTCAGTTAAATCAGTGGTCATCATAACATTTCTTAAAATCAGGTGTGGTACATAAATCAGTGTCAACAAACAGTAAAGGAAAATGAACATGATTTGCTGACAAAATTACAGAACTTCCTCCTGTCTCAGCTTGCTAGCTAGCCCATATGCTCTGTACACTTGTACGTAGCTGCAAAAAGGCTGCAGTCCTTTTAATCTAGTTTTAACAGAAATCTTAAAGTTCATCTCAGAAAGATTCTTCTGTACGATTTTTTCTTAAATCAGTACTGTGATAGAAATGAATGAAAAATGCACACACACAAAGAATATTCAAATGATTGACAAAGGACCAGACAAACTGATAGTGTTATGATGATTCCTGATTCAGTAATGACTCAAATTCTCCTTCAGCATAACCTCCCCAATTAATCACCTCTTAAAACTGTTTACCTCATGTAGACAGTTACTTACCTGCTCTTATTCATTTTAGCTTTTGGGAAATGTATGTTCTAATGTATATTATCATATATGATTATGGCATGCAGTTTCATTACAAATACTGAATTTCAGACAATTGAAGATTCATTATTTAGAATACATATAAGGAACCAAATTCAAGCCACAGATGGATAACTAAGGTGAAATTTTACCTCATATGTTCAGGGAGGATAGGAAAGAACTGGAAGGTGACGCTTCATATCTCCATGAAAGAAAAGACCTCTCTTTGGTCTAGCTTGCTGTGACTGAAATCTGGAGTGCAATTTTGTTTGTGGAGTCAAAGGAGCAAAAAGGTTTATATTCATTTATTTACTCTCAGTCAGACAATTAAATAAAAATAATAAATCAGTAAGCTAACAAATAATACTAACAAGCCAATAAAGAATAAGGCAACAAAACAACACAAATATTGAAAAGGTTGAAGTTTAGCACAGATCAAAATTAGAGCTGTTAATGCAGGGATTTGTTTGCATGGTTCACAGACAGCAATGGCCGCACATTCCCATGAAAAGATGGTCAAAATTTGTCTGCTCTCACAAACTTTTCACTTTTGCCAGTTTCCAGGAAGAATGTTCAGTTGCGGTGGTTTCCCAGTTTCTTAAAGGATAAAAAAAATATTCCACCAAAAATGTCCCTCTAGCAAATCTGTAATGGAAAGAATTTTGACCAGCATTTTTCAGCACAGATCCAGGACTGGCATTATACTTGAACAACCAGCATACTGTGGTCACAGTCAGCATGGAAATTCTTAACTAGATCCCTCTGCACAGAAAATACCTCCATTATAAAGAACCACTTTCATTCCACTATTTCTGATTACATCTATTTGTATTTTTTACTCATTTCACATTCTGAGAAGGGAACTTGAGAGGCTGAGGACACTGGGCACATTCAGCCTGGAGAAAAGAAGACTTTGGGGGTCCTAATGGCAGTCTTGCTATACCTGCAAAGAGTGTTGAGAAGATGGAGCCAAGCTTTTCACAGCAGTACATAGCAGAAGGACAAGAAATTGTACGTAACTCAAAGCAAGAAGGATCAGAGTTGATAAAGGTAAAATTCTTTGAACTATGAGGACTGTCAAGCAGTGGGGCACGTGGCACCAAGAGGTCCTGCACTCTCCATCCTTGTGGATTTTCTAGATTGAACTGGACAAAGCCCTGAGCAACGTCGTCTGGTCTCATAGCAGACCTTGTTCGGAGCAGGAAATTGAACTAGAGACTTCCTTAGGTCCCTTCCAAACAGAATTATCATGTGATGCTATGAACTTCTATAAACATTCGTGTCATTACTCTGGCTGCTACCTTCCTTTTTAAATAGTTATATTCCTTTTCCTTCTTTGTTTCCATCAATCTTTATACTGGATTTTGTTTTGACATGCTTTTTTCTCTAATTCCATTTTATATATTATGAAAGAAAAAGAACGCAAACATCAGTGCAAATTGCTTCACCACAGATGTGTTCCTGTCCCTATACTAACATAAGAACATAATGTGTTATGCAATAGAATGAATTTTCACTGCAGCTCTGGAATAAAAGGAGAACTAAAGTTCACTGTAGTTTCATGGGGAAAAAAAATCTCAGTAATTTATTTCTGCACGCAAAAAAAGTTGGAAATTTAAATTTGTTGGGGTTTAAAATGTGCAGATCAGATCTGGTGATGGTAACCAGCATCAGCCAGCAGCCCTGATAGTGACAAGGCATTCTGAGATTGAGATGAAAAGCCGAGGCAGCAAGCTAAAGTCAGGTTCAGTGAGGTACAAGGCCAGACAGTATATTCCTGAGATGTAGCTCAGCATAGTAAGTGCTTGAGCTGACAAGTAACTCCTGTTCCAAGGAGGGGGAATTACCATCAAGAATCCTCCAGCTTCTTCTCACATAACTTCTTCCAGCAGCCTGGCCCAGGTTGCACGGCAGCACCATGTCAGCACTGGCCTCCTCACAGGCAGCCAAATCCAAGAAGGCAGGGGAAGAGACCATAGAATGTGTGTATTCAAGGTCCTAACCCTGCTCAAAGAGCTTCACTTCCACAAAATTTGGCTATGTAATTTTATACCGTAGAATTTTCCACAACTTTTTATGAAAACCTTAGCTTGGACCAGCTTTCATTGTTTCTTATGAAAGCTTTTTTAATCGCATCTGTTCTTACAGTCCCTCCACACCTGACTGAAGATCATTTTGAGATAAAGGAAATCAATGGCAATAGCTGGCCCATAGGCTGGGCTTCATGAAGGAACTCAGTTAAATTAGGGGGTCCACTTCAGGAAAATAAAGCATAGGTACCTAATCTCTTCGGCTGTTATGAAATGCTGGCTTTGTCTGTTTACTGTTTGTTAAAATGAGGAAGCTGAGATGTGGAGACTGCAATGCCCCGTACTTCAATCATTCCTGTATTTACTTCAATACTTTCACATAGATAAAGATTTGCACTCTTTTTCATTCTCTCTCCAGACTTGTTTGTCCCAGCTGGATCAAATTGAGTGTATGAAAATAAACATCTATATTTTTTCCAGAATCACAATGTTATAGGAGAATAGAACAGTGAAAAATAAATGTATTCATGAAGGCTTCAATCCATGTACTATTATTACTGAATATTTTGTATAGAACTCCTAGTAGTTCTGCAGTCAAAAATCAGATGCAAGTTCACAGAAACTCCTTCAAAAGCAAGGACATTTCTTACACCAAAGAGTTTATAAAAATCCAAAGATCTATTTAATGGCAAGAAGAAATAAATGAATTCAAATTCCATTTTTTTTTCCTAACAGACAAGGCCTAAAGTCACTAATGTATGACTTTGAGGAGACACTGGTACCTATCTCTCTTCTCAAGCTATTCAATATGAATATGGATAGTTAAAGGATTGTGATGGTAATTTAATAACTAGTGTACAAAATGTCAGTGTTAAACAATACTGTTTTCAGCACAATAACAGCAGAGGTGAATTTATATATCACTAATTTACTTCAAGTAGAATCTACCTTCCAGTAGTCCAAAGATATAATGCAACTTCTTAAGTCAGGAGTTTTTCAGAGAATTGTGCTGACTTTGCTGGTGCAATTTCAGTCTTCATTTGAGCTGTGTTTCCTAGAATCCTAGCCACAAGCTGTCCCACGACATTCATGATGCAGATCATTGTTCTTTTTTGATCCAACAACACATCTTAACATCAGTCCTGACTTACACAGCTGTGGACTAACAGGGACTAACAGATGCTCTCACTTAACTTTTTTCTGAGTCTCTAACACATCTGACTTCAGAGCAACTGAGAAAGACAAAGAGAAGCTTGAATTTCAGCTATATTCCAGTTCCTGTTTCCACTCACAGAGAATGACATTTAAAAATGATTCTAACTACTCCAGTGACAAGTTTCTGAGACTGTTACTCTTTTATGCCAGTAAGGAAAGGAGTACAATGCCATAGTTTAGCTACACGCCACTTTTCACGTTGCTTACCAGCATCATCAGTGTTGTCATTAGTCTCGTTCTCCAGTTTCTAACGTGGCAAAGCAGCATCTCCTTCACTTGCTCCCAGTCTCCACTCAGAATAGAGAGGATAAAGGAGTGAGAGTGTTAGAGGGCTTGGTACCAGTGCCCTAAGAAAGGGAACTGAAGTGTGGTTCTGCACATGTTGGGAGTCTGGAGTGACTGCTGCACCCACTGAAAATGGACAGGGTTTTCCTCCCATGAGACATCAGTCACCTGTAGTTCCAGAGCCCTGTGAAATGGCAGCCTAATCCTGCCCAGTTTCACCTGCTGCACTGTACCACATATGAAAAGCCATAGCCTAGTATTGATAGAGGGTGGGGATTAACAGAGAGAGTCCTTGTGCATCTTCTAAATGTTTCTACATTTTTGTACAGCCGCACTACAATTGCTGTTTTACTGATATAATGCTAGCCTAAAGAAAAAATAGGTCACCCCCTTTTTTGATTTTTTTTTTTTTTTAAATTGACTGAGTATTTTGTTGACAGAGAATACAGCTATCCAGCTTCTTAAGTGGAGTGTGAGACCTTGAAAAAAAAAAAAAATGAAAAAACCATCTCTTACAAGCTATTACTTTAAATTTAGTATTTTTAGAAATATTATTGCTTTAGCAACAACTTGGTTAAAGGTTCAATTTCAGGGACAACAGATTTTTTTTCTTTTTCTTCTTCTCTAGTGAACACAAAATCTGTTGCTAGATGAAAAACTAAGGTGGTGACAGATTTCATAGAACTGCAGTCAGATACTGAACTGGTGTCTGATAACATAATTATACTTATGAACATAACATTTAGTTTTATGCCTGTTACATATGTCAGTGAACCTCAAGTTTTTACTGTGGATCTTTAGATATCTAGACGTGGTGCACTGTCCTTCAGATGAGATACTGAAGATCATTCATCATAAGCAATCAGTTGCTGTCTTTTTCCAAGAGCTGCTGGTAATATCCTCAAATATGCTATATTAAATTTCAGCTGAAGCTTTATTTTGACCTGTAAAACCATAACCTTACCTTTTGTTTCTCACAATTTAAAAGTTTCCTCCCTTTTGACAGCAGATATGTTGAAGTAACTATTTTTCTTGTCCCACATGAAGAGTGACACCTAGAAACATTTCAAACTTCTAGCACTTTACCACAGTTATTTGTCTCTTGATTTCAGCCCCAATCCAGAGATATATTAAGCTATTAGAAGAAAAAAAAAAAAAAACTGAGGGGACGATTATCTGCCATTGCAGATGTCAAGGCAAGTACTAAATCCAGAAAGTCGCAGTCTACAGGAGAGGTGCAACCAATATGTCCCAAAGCCATTGGGACACAACTCTTTCTCAGTTTTCCTCTTTTTCCCTTGACACCTCACTGTACCTGCTACTAACCTAGACAGACTGTGCTTCTCAAAGCTCTCGCATATGATATCTCCAGGGCCTCAGGAAGCAGGCTGACTTACAACCACTCATCTTTTTGAGATAGCTTTCACCTTAGCAGACCCAAGAACTTTTTAATGAGAAGGACAGTTAAAAAACAAAACAACACAACACAACAACAACAAAACACTTAAGACTTGGAAGGCAAGAGAAACTCCAATTATTCCAAGTATCAATTTATAAGATTAATTTTCAAGAGAGAATAAACACATGGTTTCACCTGTATGCCTTACTCATCCTAAGGGACTGCAATGCACTAAATAACACTCAGCAAATTAAGGTTTCTACTCCCTCTTAGAATACACAAAAGGTCAAACTAAAAATAACTACTGATACATTGACAGTAATCCCATGAAGGCAGAAATGAGCCCTCCTTCCTGGCACGCAGTGGGAGCACACACATGGCCATCTGAACACTTCATAACCAACATACAGATTCTGTGAAGTATAACCAACCTAACTAAATGTTTCAGACCAAGATGTTGTACAGGAAAACAATATTGCTTTTACGCTCACATTTTTTACAGCATTAGTGCCAGACGTGTGAAATACAGCTGGCAATTTCCTGCTCACCTATTTTAACAAGAATAGCACCAATCTTCCTTACTTGTATGCATGGCTGTCAGTGCACAATGCACTGTCACAGTCCGGTCTACATATCACTACAGGAACATAACAAAACTAGTAAAATACTGCAGCGTATATATTCTCAAGGAATCCCTGGTGAGTCAGTGTTTAAAGCTGCATTGAAATTTACAGCTGTTGTTAATTCCCCTGTAACGTTCTGTTTGAGTAACACATTTCTTCACTAAGTCTAACATTCACACTTGGAAGACTTATTACTGAGGAAAGCAAGAAATAAATTTAGGTAGTAGCATTTAGCAGTTTAAAATTAGCTCCTTTGGAAAATGAAAAATTCAGCTCTGAAGTTCTTTATATTTTTATTTCTATCCCTTCTACATCATTAGTAGATTCAAAATTTGACTTTAGATGGGCCTGGCATATGCAGCTTTGAAACATAAAGAAACAGTTATCACCATAACTCAAACTCTACCAAGGAAAGTAAAAGGCAAGAATTTCCGTTATTTTCAGTCATGACTTCACCGGAAGTTTTTCATGTGGTTATTTAAAAGTTACAACTCTATGTTACAACTGTGAATACCTGGAGGTTCTCATATTTTCCTTTCTCTCGTGTTTTATCACTGCAGAAAAAGAATCTTGAAATTATGACTCGTATATGCCTAAATGAAGCAGTGGAGGAAAAGAATTCTAAGTAAACTACATTTTAAATGTCATTATTTTTAATAAAATCTTGACACTTTGATTAAAATAAGATTTTTTTTTTTTTTTTTTGAAGCTTGATGTTCTTTTTTTTCTGTACAATAACAGGAAGTAAGCCACAAAAAATCATCAGAATAGAAATAAGAGGAAAGTGATACAGTGCAGAAGTGGGGATTCAAAAACCCTATAAAGTGGATTTAACTGAAAGCATTTACAAAAATTGCTAACTTAGTCTGTATAGGTTTATCTTTGTTGTACACTCATTTTAACTGATTACAGAGACACTAAAAATGAAACCACTTCCAGATACTTCTGTGGATTTCAGCCAATTACACAGTTTGCCTATTTCTAGCATTTCATTCAAATGAACGAGGACCAAGAGCCCAGAGACACTTCAAAGCACAACCCACACAGGAAACATAAGATATCCAGTTCAGACATTGAGTGTAGCCCTTTCCCCAGGCCCCTGTAAATATACTGCAAGGACATTCAAGTAATCAAGTTGTAGTTGCATAGAGAGGTGATAGTTATCCCTATGCTTAGTACACACATTCTATAAAATGCCTATTTTCCTGTTCAGCAAATTAATTTCTACTTAATTTGCTCTTGCACAGAACAAATGATGTCGCATCTTCAATCAAAGCAATGTAGCAAAATACTTCACAAATATAGTTGACTCAATTGTAATTGCAGTAGAAAGTCTGAAATGAGAGAACTGGGAGGCTAATTCTCACTAGGTGGCGATTTTGGTCTGCTCAGTCAGGACTTACAGAAGAGAAGAAAAAAATCCTCATTCTAAGATGTGTTTCTTACATAGGAAAAAAAAAAAAAAAAAAAAAGGCAGTGTGAAAAGAGTGCTGACCCCTAAGTTTCCAGGAAGACAGGGTGAGCTGTTGTAGCCCTTTTAGATTCAGCCTTGAAATGCTGCAAGCTAACAGGCTTTGAATCACCAGGCCTGAGAATTAGAAGTTAAACATTAAAAAAAAAGAAAAGAAAACCTAAAGACCTTACCTGTACATTATGAGCTTCCCACAAGCCTAGATTTACTGACAGCTTGCTTATAATTATTATTTTTTTTTTTTGTAAAAAAAACATTTTCTTCTTCCCTGCTATTTATTGCAAAATACATAGACAGACAGCAGGCATCTGTATTGCTAAACAAAGCAAGCACTTCCAGTCTGCAGCCTGATGGGCCCCTCATTCCTGTGCTCAACTCACCAGACTTTTTCTTCACTTGTCTTTCATGTGCTGTGCTCCTGGGATTGGCACCAATTCCAAGGCCTCACCTGTGCTCAGTCAGAGCAGCTGAAAGGCTTCCCTGTATTTGCCAAACGCCTCATCTGATGTATCATGCAACAAAGCATATAACGCGTTCTACTGGACATTCATACTTCCCCCATACCAGCCAGCTCCTCTACTCAGCCATTTATAGCAGATAGGCTCCCAGGGCAGCAGCTCACTTATTGTCAACCTCAAAGTACATTAAAGCATATTGCATTACTGAAGGATCCCTGAAACAGATTCATACGTCACCCACGTTACAATTACATGTTTCTTCACAGGTACTCACTTCACTGAAGCACAGTTAATCAATTTCCTCTAATTCCTAGTGATCAGACCTTTCACGTGCTGCACTAGAATCATGTTCTTCCACAACATTCCTCCAGTCTCTGCAAGAGCTAACTTCACACCCAGGGCAATACCTGCTCACTAAGGAGCTCACATTATAATAAAGCTTTTCAGGTGTTCCAAACTCAACACACCTGCTTACAAGGATGATTAGGCCTCTTCCTTTTATTGGTTGGAGTACCAGTTCTATCAGCTATTATGGTTTTGTTCAGTTCTTGTACTTTCTTTTCCCTATGACTCTAGTCGATATTCCTTTATACTTTGCCATATTCATGGTTTTCTTTTTTCTATATGTAGGGAACAGACAGAACAATTACACAAGCCTCTATCAATACTTTAGTGATAATTATGAGTCTTCTCAACCCCAAAAGTCAAAATTTCATTAATTATCTAGCTTTTAAACAATTTTGGTATTCGTTTCAAAGTGACTTATGTGTTTCAGGAAGCAACATGGAATGATTTAAATTCTCAGAATTTATTAGCTTTGTTCCTTTGTACTCAATTTTTTTTCTAGACAATTCACATGAAAAAGATGTCATTTCAGTAATGCTATGCTCTGGGATGATTCCAAATATCTGCAACTACAATGAGAAATTAAGCTAATAGACCCTGGCCACTAAATTGTAAATAATGACTTGCAGTATCCCATCAGCTCTTATTTTGCTGCTCCTATAACATACACTTAAATTCTAAATTTAACAAGGAAAGAAATTGAATGTTAAGTTTTGGAGGTCCATCCCATATTATGCATTAGGTTGCTGTTATTCCTTTCTGTTCTGCCTGCATTTTGCTAGTCCTTGATGTCTGTTTCCTTCTTTTCTTTTGTCATTTTCCCAGGCCGTACTGCTATATTTCTGTATCTCTATATTGCTCTGCCTTGCTCCCTTATATGTCCAGAGGAACATTTATAAAATTATCTCTATTTATCTCCTTGAATCTTTATTATTAAACAACCCTGAGCAACTGACATTGGGAAGTACACTATTATAGGTTTATGTTTGTTGGTGTTTTGGATGTTTTGGTTTTCATTTAGGGTTGTTGCTTTTTTTTCATTTGTTTTTGTGGGGTTTTTATTTTTTTTTTTTATCTATTCACATGTGTGTGTTTTGGGTTTTTTTTTTTCAGAGGGGAGTGAGCAACCCAAACAAAAAAGTTCACTAGACATTAATGTTTTGTCTGAGTTAAGAAATGACACATTTACCAAAATGACATTCACAAGCAAGGCTGAAGAGAATTTTGTCAGAGTTGGAATAATCTCCTAAACTCATCACCACAAAATCCTATATGCAATAAGAAAATAAACATGATGTAATAAAAACCTGGTTCCTCTTTAATGCAAGAGCAGACAACTTTCTGCTTTATATTTCCCCTTTTCACATTTCCTGTTATTTGGTTATTTTGGTTCTTGCTAGCTGTATGGGTGACTACCTTCTTAATACAAAGCTGAAGTAAGATTAAAAATGTAGTTTTAACATTTAAAATTATCTGTAAAAAGTTTACATCTTAACCTCAGTATACAAATACCAAAATCTATATTCATGTTGAATTTCAAGGTATTATTAAACCAGATGTCTTTGGAAAAGGTACAAGATGTTAGGCATGATACTAACTTGATTTGCAGTGGTTTGTGAAAAGCCTGTGAGAGGAGATATCCAGAGCACACTGCAGCATGACCTCTGAGTCGCACCAACCAACCGGAACAGCTCTGAAGATTCAGAGACATATTTCTACAGATGGTTTCAGATCTTTAGGTTAAATTACATTTCCCTTTTTAAATCTTTAAATTTTGCATAGATAAACGAGTACTTGTTGGTTGATACAATGAATAAAGCATAATTCAGTGAAAAGCATTAGCTTTAACCATTTTTATTCCAGTCTAATTCACACGCTTCAAGAGGAAAACTTCAATGTAAAAGGTTCTCCCATAGAATTATGCCCACTTGTGTGGTATGAAATGAGATTATAACCTGATTGTGGAAAACTGTATTTTATACATATGAAGGCTACAGTGTATACAGATATTTGACCTTCAATACTTCTCAGATATGGTGTAATTTTTCCACACTATTATTCTGATAGTATTTATTTACAAATATCTCCTTTAGAGGGCATATTATTTCTACATAAGATCAACTATATATCAGAGTAAGACTCTGATTCTTGGATAGAATTATTCTTGGGAAAGGGGGCTGAGCACATTTTATTGATTTACATGTTCATTTATCTTAACTAGAGCAATCATGAGTTCCTAAGGAGTTGCTCTGGTCATCTGTCTTATAGTAGACAAGATTCAGCAGTCAGATCTCAATGTCCTGCCATCCAGAAGAGCTACCCCTTACTTTTGGTCAGAGTTGAGACTGTGCCCCAGTGTTTTCTCCTAGGTGAAACTCAGGGATGCTACAGATTATGCTACCTGGTAAGACATGCCCTCAAAGAAGTCAGCTCCATTACAGATCAGTAGAAACTGGACTTTGAATGGACTACATTGTGCAGTCAGGAACAGATCTTATTATGTCTTTGGAGTGTGTTAAGGCTCAAGAAGTAAGCTCCAAAGCTCTGCAAACTGGTATGAACCCTCCTAGGTCAATGGAGCTGGACAGCTCTACATCTGCAATGGAACTAACCTTTGCTAATAAAGCCTGCTATGAGAAACTCTGGCTTTTTCCATCATTTCAGACCACGCTTTTGTTTCAGGAAAGATTCAGGCTCAAAAATGGTAGGTGTCACTCAACACTCTGCTTGGTGCACACTCACTGGATAAGTGTCATATGCACACTCAAGGAGCCAGCAGGACAGACCATTACCCTTTAAGCATCACACTGCTCTCTCACACAGTGCTTTAGCTCTTTGGTAGCTCAGTGCTAGTTCATTTTGCTCTCATTTGAGAGGGATAATGAGAAGAGCCTTGCTGAGCCCTTACACGATGTTAATAATTATATGGGGATAAGCACAGTATGAATAACTGCAGGGTGCTGTGTTGGGCAGAAATAACATCTATTTAAAATGAGATGCTTTTCCCTCTATGCAATGAAAAGCAGAAAAAAAATGCCAGAGAATGAGATGGATTTGTGATACTTCAAAAACTACTTTTCAATTTCTCTGTCCTGCACCATGTCCTGAGTTTAACATAACGTTACTGGGCTAAAAATCCTCCACTACTCCACTATTCCACTAATTCACAAGGTATTTTTAGTAAATTCATCATTGCAGTGACAGTAAAGGTAAAATAAATGTATTTAAAAGGTAAAATAAATGTATTTAAAAGTGCATTACTGAATGAAACTTTTTTTAGAAGTTGAATGAATCAGGCTCTGGAGAGAGATACCATTGTTAATTATGAATGAGCTAAATGCAGCTAAAAAAGCACTGATCCATTGAAAACCTAATTCAGAAGTTAACACTG